AAGGGTTGAAGAAGGAGATGAGCCAGTCAGGGTGCAGGGTAGCAATGATGAAACATATCTTTCCTCTAGTTCTTAATTCCCTCTTGCCCCCCACTATCATGATCCCAATTCTACCTTACAAATCCGGCTAGACCAGAGGATGTACATTGGTACAGATAGCAACTGGAAACACAGAGAATCCAGGACAGATGACTCCTTCAGGACCAGCTGTGAAAGGGGTGAGCCCTGGAAGGTGAAGGGAATGTGGGGTGGAAAGGGGGAACCAAATACAAGAATCTAGGTATTGCCTCCTCCCTGGGGGAGGGACAGCAGAGAAGAGGGTGGGGGGAGACATCGGACAGTGTAATTTATGACAAAACTATAATAAGTTGTGAATTATGAAGGGTTCATGAGGTGGGGTGGGAGGGAGGGGGAAAATGAGCAACTGATATTAAGGGCTGATGTGGATGGCAAATGTTTTGAGATTGATGAGGGCAGCGAATGTACATATGTGCTTGACACCGTGGATGTATGTATCGATTGTGATGAGAATTGTATGAGCCCCCAATAAAATAATTTTTTTAAAAAAGAGGTGTGCAAGAAGTGATTATTTAAAACAAAACAAATCAATGCAATATAAGCAGGACCTGCCATCCTTAAATAAGAAGCATTCTTGAAGAAATGTGAGAAACGAAGAGGTTTCTACTCTATTGGTAGTTGGGTCCTTAGTTTAGTTTATAGTGTAAGATGTAGGGGCACACCTGGAAGTGAGAAGCAGGAAATGCTTTTTGGTGAAAAGTGGTGAATTATATGGCAACATGGTCATCCCAGGGAGGTCACTGCTGTAGAATGCCATAGAAAGCCAAAGTGTAAGCCTATTTAAAGGTAGCTCTCACATCACTGGCACTATTAGTAGCCTTTGCTTAAGTCACCACACTGTAATGCATATACAGATAAGAATCAAAGAGTTTCTTGTAACAATTGACAGTGTTGTGTAATGGAATGGAAAGTGAATTGGTCTAAAACATCTGGATTCAGGTTTCTGTCACTGAATTATTTCTTGGTCTTGGACAAATCACTAGTTTCCTTGAGCCTGGGCTTTAACATCTATAAAATGGGGACAATAATATTGTTCTTGCTTTTTTCTCCTGCTGAGTTATTGTTATTATTTTTTTAATAAATTATTTTATTGGGAGATCTTATTCTATTGAGTTATTATAAGTATCAATTGAGATAATGTTTTAATAAGTACTGCTTACATATTGCTTTTTATAATTTAATATTAGGAATTACATGCTAAAATACTATGTAAATGAAGAATATATACATATATAACTATATATATGTATCTACAAGGTTGTACCAAAAAAACCCTGATTTTTTTTCCTTTAAAACTGTGCAATTACATTTTTAACAAAACAACCTTATCACTTTCAAAGTCCTCTCCATTACACTGAATACATTTATCAAATCTGTGATTCCATTCTTGGAAATATTTTCCAAACTTACTCATTTGGTAGCTGACAGCACCTCCCTAGTTTTTTCTTCCCCTCTTCTGTGTCGTCAAATTGCTATGCTTTCGTGTCCCTCTTCATTCGTGGAAACAAAAAGAAGTTGCATGGAGCAAGGCCAGCTGCACAAGGTGTGTGGGGCAATAGAGGCATGCAGCTTTATGCCCAAAACTGGTACACAGAGATGGCTGGGTGCACAGGCGCATTGTTGTGGTGACATCACTGATCCCCCATCTTCCACAACTCAGGTCTGTTTTGGTCACACACTGATAGCAATCTTTTCAGAACCTCTAAATAGAAAGCTTGATTAACAGTCTGACCTGGTGGAAAGAACTTCAAATGCACTATCCCCCTTACATCAAAATGAACAAAAATATGAGCATCATCTTGATCTTTGATTTCACTTGACCAATTTTTTTTTGATGATGTGATGATGGCATCTTCCACTGGCTTGATTGACGTTTGCTTTCAGGGTCGTACGAATAGCACCATGTCTCATCACCAGTAATGACCTTGGAAAAAAAGGGGGAGCTGTTCGTTCAAGGGACAGCATGTTTCCAGTTGAGGCTCTTTTTCCTGCTCAGTCAGAAGCTGAGGCCCAAATTTTGCATCGATCCTTCTCATTCCCGAATCTTCCGTTAAAATTCACTGACTGAGCTCCAAGATATTCCAGAAAACTTGCCCATCTCTTCAATGGTCCATCATCTGTCTTCAAGCACAAGTGCATGGATATTGTTGACATTGTCATCCATTTGGGAAGTTGATGGACGTCCAGAATGAGGTTTTTCATCAATCAGCATTTCACTTTTTTGAAATGAAAAAGGCTATTGACACACTTGAAGTGTGTTCCAGAGCACTGGCCTTCTAAGCTGTGCTCAACATCACAATGGTTTCTGCAGCAGTTTTCCTGAGCAGGAAACAAGATTTCACAGCTACACACTGTTTTCTTAAATTGGCCATCACACACACACACACACACACACACACACCCCACATGAGGTTTGAGTGAAACAGCTTTTACAAAAAAATTTCACTGTGACCAGAGAGAACGTTCCCAGGGGACGCCACTGGGTGTGCTAATTCAGAGGGAGTTACTTGATGCTCGCCTAGTGGGGAACATGTGTACTATGAGAGCTCTGCCCAGTGAAACATGTTTCTATTTTTGGCGGGGGAAAGGGTGCAGGGCTATCTGTGTGTGTGTGTGTGTGTGTAAAATGAAGTCATTTCAAAAGTTACTGGAAAAATGAAATTAGAAGCTAATGAATTTTTCCACAAGCTGTTTGAAGCCTCTGTATGTGTGTGTATTCACACACACACACACATATATCTCACTACCATTGAGTCAGTTCTAACTCATCGCAACCCTATAGTAAAGCCCCAAAGTAAAACTGCCCTCATGGGTTTCTGAGGCCATGAATTATTATAGGAATAGAAAGCCTCATCTTTCTCCCACTGGTGGTTTCAAACTGCTGACCTTCTGGTTAGCAGCCAGTGTGTAACCCACTGTGCCATCAGGACTCTACACATTTTATTTAACTATAAATGTAAGTTATGAGGAGCCTTGGCAGTGCAATGGTTAAACCCAGAACAACTCGTGAGTAAACCATGTGGAAGGCCAGACCAGGCCTCCTCTGGCTTCCCTATTGCCCCGGACAGAGGTCAAAGATGCTGTGCAATAGCCCCACAGAACTCATAGACAACACTTGGGATTAAGGAGGCTTATTAGGGAAGTTACAGGTCACCACAAGTCGGAATCAGTAAAGGGAAAGGATGTAGTCATCGGTCCCCAGCTGCAGCCTCCTTCCTCTGCCAGGAGCCAAGTCTCTCTAGTCCTTAGCCTCTTAGCCGTGTGATCTCTTGTCCTCTGTTTCCATGAGCCAGAAACCAGACCAATGCTCTGCTTCACAATCTCATAGTCTGCTGCTCCTCTGTTCTGTCCCATGGTTTTCTTGCCTGTGCCTTCTGATCTCAGTCTGGCTCCTCTGCTCTGTTCCATTGTCTCTGGTGCCTTGGTCTCAACCGCTGCCACTTCAGGCCGGAAACACATTCCACTGGTGGGTCTTCTTCCAATGCGCCTGGGGTTTCCCTCTTTATTTCTGAGAGGGCTCTGATATACAGAGGGACCACTTTGATGGGGGTGTGCTTTTTGTCTTTCAGCAGACTCTTTCCTGAAGGGCTCAGAAGGTGCTGACTTAATTCACACCCTCTATGAAGGTGGAGCCCTGGAAGAAATCTTACCTTCATCCTGTAACAGAGGGCTCCCTCCAAAATGGGATGATAATCGCAGCCATAGAGACTAGAATTTTTAATCCCCCACCAAACGGATGGTCGCTAGAGGGGTCGTATGAATTGATTCTATCTCCACTCACCTGAAGGTTGGTGGTTTGAACTGACGTAGAGACTTAGGGAGAATTATTTGGTAGTCTGCTACCATAAAGATCAAGCAGAAAACAAAATCCAACTCACTGTCACTGAGGGGAGTCTGACTCATAGCAGCTCTGTAGGAAAGGGCCAAACTGTCCCTGTGGATTTCCAAGACTGAGAATCTTTACAGGAGCAACCCCCCTCGTCTTTCTCCCTGAGCGTGCCCGGTAGGTTTGAACCACTGACCTTGCGATTAGCAGCCCTCTTTATAACTCACCATGCCAATCAGAGCTCTTTAAGATTATAGCCTAGAAAATCCTCTGGGGCGGTGGTAAGGAGTGCCGCTGAGGTGACTGTACCTGACAGCAACAGGGTCCGTATCCTAAAACTCTGAGAATCGCTGAAGAACGTTTTGTCTATTGCCGTCTTTGAAGAGAGACTGAAGGAGAGGCAGGAGGAATCTTAGCCGTATTGTGTGGCTTTCCTCCACTGAGCACACTTTGCTGCTCACGTTGCCTGGTCTTGGTCACCCTCGTGGCCTCGGAGTGACTCAGATGGTGCTGCTAGTGATTAGGCAGCCTTAGCAAGAGCCTTCTGCGCATCTGCTGTGGGCACGGCTACCTGGACCACTGACATCCTCTCTTCCTCACTTGTCTCCGTCTGTTTGCTGTTGAAGGAGCCCAGGCAGTTAAGCTTCACAGTGGTGAAGCACTTGGCTGCTAACAGAAAGGTCAGCAGTTCGAATCCATCAGCTGTTCTTCCACAGAGGGATGTGATCGTCTGTTCTGTGAAGATTTGCCACCTCAGAAACCTTGTGGGGCTGTACTCCTCTGTCCCTTAGTCCCTGAGAGTCTGAGTCCACTCGGTGACAACAGGTTGGGACTTCGGGTTTGGTTTCCTGTGGCTGGTTTTAGCAGGAGCAGCTTTTCATTTGTACTGCTCAAGGATTCTTGACGCTTTTGAAAATTTCTTTTCTCTCCCTCTGCTGAGCAAACACCCGAACTAAGAAACGGGGCTAGAAGTCAGAAGTTGGGTTTGATGGTTAGTGAAAGGAGACAAAGCCTGTGGCTTGTGGACGCCGCCTTTTTCAAACAGAGGCATGGAGGGTGTGCCTTGTTTTAACTGTTCTCTTTCCTGTGTCCTCAGGGAGTCGACGAGTTGAAGATGAAGCTCAGAACAGAGTGCTGTTCTCCCAAGTTCTGGTTGGTGTTGGCTGTCCTGGCCGTGTCCGGCACCAGAGCGCGTTCTCAGAAGAGCTCCCCCAGCATCGGTATTGCTGTCATCCTCGTGGGCACGTCAGACGAGGTGGCCATCAAGGATGCCCACGAGAAAGATGACTTCCACCATCTCTCCGTGGTGCCCCGGGTGGAGCTGGTAGCCATGAATGAGACCGACCCAAAGAGCATCATCACCCGCATCTGCGATCTCATGTCCGACCGGAAGATCCAGGGCGTGGTGTTTGCTGACGACACAGACCAGGAAGCCATCGCCCAGATCCTTGATTTTATCTCAGCCCAGACGCTCACCCCCATCCTGGGTATCCACGGGGGCTCCTCGATGATCATGGCAGATAAGGTAAAAACCAGGGGTCCTGGGGAAGGAGCCTAAGGGTTTCGGAACAAAAACGAAGTGAGACCTTTGTTGTAATGCACCATCTAGTCCTTAAAGACAGAAAATGACCAGAATGCATTGAGTGAGTGGATAGATCAGGAATTGATCTACTCACTGGACGTGATCGTGAGGGTAAGAGTCTGGTACCTCGAAGCTCCTGTGGCTTCAGACTGACTTGTGTGTCCATTGATTTGCACATGGACTCACTGAAGTGACGGAAGAAAGGTTGAATGAAGTGTGTAGCTGTGTGATAATGTCCTTCGAATGGATGTATGAATAATTCCTTTAAAAGTTTAAAACATGGCATACTCTATTCTGTCTTGGCAATACACATTTCTGCAGGTAGCTTTCTCCTCAATCTTTACCTTAATGCTCGTTCATGAATATCAAAGATAAATCCCTTGAGGCAGGTAACACCCCCTCCTCAAAGATACAGATGCTGCAGGGAAGTCGTTCTTGCAACGTGACCGCAGTCATCACACGCGTGAAGGTACACATTCCAGTGCATTTCAGTCCAGTAGTAGCCGCTTCCCCCCTGCTTAGATGTGAGGTTCTCCACTCTGATAACACACACTGCAGTCTTCTGAGGAGCTCCCAGTACTTCAGATGCCTGTGGCCCAACCCCAGGGGTTCTGATGTCTGGACTGCTGGACTTTTACAGTTCCCCAGTGATTACAGCAGGTAAGCAAGGTTGGAAGCACAGCGCTAAGGCCGTAAGTCAATCTTCGCTGTCTGCCTCAGTCGGAGATTCATTGCCATATGGAAATGAATGAGTGAATTTCTATGATGACATTGGTCTTTATTTACCCTAACCACAGGGAAGTGTGCTGTGTTTGCTTTGGCTATGTCACATTTTGAAGGTTTCTGTTTGGTTTGGTTTTTCCAGGTATCTTCCCCTGTGTTACTAAATATTGCCCCTTGCTGAGGGTACAGAACTACTCTGTCTATTACCTTTTGCTGTCCTTCATGTTGTGAAATGCTTCAGCTTGCCACAAGTACATTTTTTGTTTTTTACCCCTTGTGGTTTTTTAAAACTTTGCATAGTCATCTTTTTCATCTTCTTATCATTTTCAAGACTGCTTTTACTTCCATTCTTCCACTGCACCCTGTGGGGCCATGATGTTTGTAAACACCTTGAGACCTAGCACAGACACCTCCAACATACGGAGAACCACCACCTCGCAGGAGAACCACCACCTCGCAGTGGCATCCCCCAGACTAGAATAGCCTTGTGTGACCACCGTCGCCATCTATTGGCAACAGATTAGAGTCTGAGTTGGAGCTTAGCTGTTTTCAGCTTAGAAGAGGTCACGTTGAAAGAAGTAGGTGGAGGAGCAGTCAGTATTATTTGAGAAATCCAGTGATTCACATGGGCAGAGGCTCATGTGTTAGAAATGAAGTACTGGTATGGGTATCCCATGCTTAGGGACATGGGATAAATGTCAACAGGGCAGTGACTTTTTGTTGTGGGTAGATTTTTTTTTTTAACGTCTTTAGAAAATTCTACTTCCGCAGTGGTATTTTCAGGGCATGCTATTTCACTGAAAGAATGCTAATATGGATAAGAGCCAACATGTTGAATCACAGTTTAAGAGCATGTTCTTATTTTGAAAGCACAACAGGTATAAATGTTTTGTTGCCTTTTTTTTTCTTCACTCACAGGAGCTATTGGAAACCCATGCTATTTTTGTCCCCGTTGTAGAAAAGGCGACTGGCTAAATTGCTTGGTGGCTCTGTCTTGTGTCGCTTTCAAATCAACAAGACAAGACCATTTGGTGAGATTCAGATTATCTAGAGCAAGAAGGGGACTGCTTTTTCTGTCGAATGCCACTTAGGTATTTACACCGTCATCTGTGGGCCTTGCTGATCAAATGTTTCATTAACCACTCCCAATGTAAAGAGCCCTGTTGGTGGTGTGGTTATTTGTTGGGCTGCGATCCGCGTGGTCTGTAGTTCAAAACAACAGCAGTCACAGCCTTGGGAGCCCAGAGGGGGTCGCTATGAGTTAGTATGGACTCGAAGGCAGTGAGTTTGGTTTTTGCAATGGGATGGCTGGGACTGCTTCTCTTTACTGAGGCCTGTGGTGTCCGCTAGCCGGGATGATTATCAGGAGTCTTATCTGGACCTTGGGCCAGACAGTGCCCACCCCACCCCCTCCCGATCTACAGAGATGTGACTCTTTTGTCCACCCCCCTCACTCCACCCCAACCCTGCCACAAATATCAGTGGTGCCTTGAATGTGCTTACAGTGTAATGCTAGACCTGCAGTGGTCTGTATGCGTGGTTTCATCTAACCTTTTTAACAACTCAGTGATCTAAGTGGTATTATGTTTTATCTCCACAATTGGGAAAAATGAGAGCAGAGAAGTTAAATAATGTAACCAAAATAACAGAGTCACTCTGGGGCAGCCAGGACTTCTGTCTTGGTCACTGGCTGAGAGGCTTTATGCTCTGCTGCCTCTCCAAAAATCTGGTTAGACTTCCACGCCTGTCCTCAGCCTTTACTTCCCCCTCTGTTCTACAGCCTTGCGGGCACTAACTAAAGCACTTCACTAGCAGAATAGAACTGAGAGCCTCAAAATAAGGCAGAGTGTCTGTGACCCCCTGATGTCCAGTGTGAAGTGTGTCCTTGGGGTTGCCCACAAAGAAAGGGAATCAAGCGGCTCACCAAAAATAAAGGAGACCCCCAAAATCCCCACAGCCACCTGAAATGATAATAACAAATCCAGTGAAAAGCAAATCATATTTAAAAGAACTTAGCACCCAAGGTAAAGAGGAACAAAGAAGCCATGACTTTTTTTGATTATAATAAAATAATTTTGTCACGATTCATAATCAGGCAATAGTGTGTTTCTTATCTTATTTTGTGAATCAAGCTACAGGAGAGAATGAAGGAATTGTGCAATGATGTTGTGAGTAATCCACTGGAGCTCAATTGTGACTACCTCCTGGGGGTAAAAGGGAGATTGAAGCCCTTAATTAAGCTGGATTCTTTTAGGTTGCTATCATAAGATCCCTCTCTGGCTCTTTCCCCTTGGCCCTCTTCTATGACTGCTTCACATCAATATTTCACCTTATCTTTCTCCATCCCCTTAAAAAAAAAAAAAGGAATTGCGCAATTATCTTTAGGCCCTTTTGTATCAGCCTAAATAGATATTATCTGACTTTTTATTTTCTGGTAGCAAAATCTATATGGGAAAACATGCCAACCGTTTTACATGTACAATTTCGTGACATTAATTCTATTCTCCCATGTTGAACAGCCATCACGAGATTCTACTGTTTTTTATCATCCTTAACAGAAACCCAGCATTCCTTAGGCAATACTCTCCCAATTTCCCCTCTCACCTGCTCCTGGTAACTACTCATAAACTTTGATCTCTTGCATTTATTCCAGAAAGTTCATGTAAATGGGATCATGCAATCTTTATCCTCTGTGACTGGCTTGTTTCACTCAGCATGATACTTTCAAGGTTCATCTATTTCATGGCATGTCTCAGAACAGAATAATATCTTTATGAAGGCCTAATAATATGTCTGCATCCCATTTGGTGGTCTGTTCATCTGGACAGTTCTTACTGACCCTGGGATACTGCAGCTGCCCAGGAAGGCTCACAGGCTGGAAGGTATTACAAGAAGGTATATGAAAAGACACCCCCGCCCCCGCCCAACCGCAGACAAATAAGCCTCTGAGTGAGTGTCCCCCCAAAAGGCACCTGACACTCTAGAGCCAGGCGTGTTTGATTTTAAATCAATAAACGGAAGCTTCTTTTTAAGTGCCATGGGCCTATCTTATAAACAAATAGTTTACAAAGCTGAAGCTTTTAAGACCTCCAGTGCAAGTCTGAAGGTGATGACTCAGCTTCCCATCCTGCTTCCCTCTCCTGGAGAACAGGGGATTAACATGACGCCTTTACTTACGTTCTTGTTGTTGTTGTTGTTGCTAATGTGTTTCAGATAAACACTTCCTAAGTCCCCTTGTGGAAGACTGACATGATGGGGCTGAGATTTTTGTGTTCATGAAATTTATCATGTAGTAAAGACAGTCGTTTTATAAAAATACATTTGAGGAAACCAGAGCTACACGAGTTTAGTGGTCAAATAGCATGTGTTCACTTAGCCCTGCGGGGAGGATGGTTTAAGTACTCAGCTACCAGGCGAAAGGCTGGTCAGAGCCACCTAGTGGCCTCGTGGCAGGACGTCTTGGTGACGGCCCCTGTGAAGAGTACCGCGTAGAAAACCCTGTGCAGCTGCTCTGCCTTGTCACGGAGGCCACTGTGAGCTGAAAATCAACTACCTCAGCGGTACCTGCAACATCAATGAGTAAACGTATGAACCCAGGCTCTGCCTTTCCAGGGAGCAAATACCCCTGAGTCTTGGCAGAAAGCAGCAGGGGAGCTGGTTATCAGAGCTGTTAGGGACTCAGAATTCGCAGGCAGACAGCACTGTTTTTCACTCTCATTTCCAAGATGCAGGATCGGGACGGGTCCCCAGCAACTCTAAGGCTTGGTGTCCTGTCCTGTCTATTAAAACCCACACCACTGATAGTAGATGGATTCCAACTCACAGAGACCCGGTCGCGGAGCGCAGAAGTGCCACACTGGGTCTCCAGGAAGCCCACTGCCACCTCTTTCTCCCGCGGAGAGGCTGGTGGGCTGGAACTGTCAACCTTTTGATTAGCAGCCAAGTTCTTTTACCCTCATACCACCAGAGGTCCTAGCTGCTAGGTAAGGATAATAATCGACACAGTACAGGGTTATTGATGATTAAGTGAGGTAATACCGAAAAAAGACAGGGTGTAAGGAGCAGTTTGAAGAAGGGGAGGCTTCATGATATTGGTGAAGAATCAGAATTAATAGCACCATGGCCAATGGTAGAAATGTTGAGAAAGCTTGGAATGGGAGCCTTGGTCCTACCCAACCCGGGAGGGGGAGGCTCACCAATGGTATGGAACCCTGTTACAG